TACGCATTAGCTTGCTACATATTAACATTCGCCAAAGACACTCAAACCATAGATTATATAATCAGTGTTGCTAATATAAATGCATAATAACTAACAAATAGTATGCATTTAACTATTTGCTTTAATCAAGCTTCAACAAGGAGTCGCTAATATAGGTATTTATATAATACTCTAAGCAACTTTATGACAAGGAGCAAATAAAATGTCTAAGGATGAATTGGAAAAATCACTAAGTCTAAGGAAATTCGGAAAGGTGAATTTTTAAAATAATTTAGCGTATGTTCTAATCGAAAATTAAGAACTAGCAATTATATATTATATATAAAATATAATATATATATATATAAAAAAAAAAGGTATATATATAGGTATATAGGTCTAAATGTGTTTTTTTTAAATATATTTATAGAAATTGAAAAAGAGAAATAAAAGTATGAAAATAAAGTTATGACATATGTCAATGCAAATAACATTTATCATTTATTGATGTAATGATGAATTTTACTACGAGGCGGTCGTTAAAGAGAAATTTTTAGGTTCATCTAACTTACATTGTGTGTGTTGCAAAAGTGATAGGTATAGAGAAATGATATAATTTTGTAGGTAGATGACATTATTATTTTTAGTTTAGCTAGACGTATTCTACTCCTAATTGATCGGTAACGGCTGACAAAATTTAAGGTGCTAGGCGTCAAAAGTCATTATCAGATTGTAATGTAAAATGTATATATAATCATCATCAGCATCATCACAACCCATCATAAGTCGATTGTTGAACATAACTGTTCCTCAAGGAATGCCACAAAGTGTGGTCCAGAGCCACCTGTGTCCATTGACTTCCTGCGTCCCTACCAGGTCATCATTCCATCGAGTAAGAGAAGTTCTAGTACGGGGCTGCTAATCGAAAGCCCTCCTTCTCTATAATTTTTGGTTCTCCCGTTGGTTTTCGGTCAAATCCCACTTCAGCTTACTGGTCCGTTGGGAGATGTCAGTTACTCAGGTTCTACCCATATTCTTATACATTTAATCTTGTATATGCCGATATTCTTATTGTGAAGACTATCTCGCATAAAAATTCAAAGTATTACCATCATCAAAGCTCGCTGAGCGATTTTGAGCCTCTTCATATAGCTAGAGTCTTATTGCAATATGGTAACATACGCTGGTTGTATACTTTTGTTTTTAAGTTTTAAAGTCCAATCCGAGTAAATATAGTAAGATTAAAAAAAATGTTCGGTAGACTAATTTCTGTTTATGCAATGAAATTGTATGGTTTTCGGATTCGTTCAAGTTTTTTAATAACGTTCTCGTTTATCCTTTTAATAACGTTCTACGTAATACTGGATTCATGTCATAAACCGGATTATGACATAGAATTCAGTCTCGCATATTTGCGTACCAAGTCATGGATCATAAGCCTTAAAGCAAAAGATCCAGGATTCTATAAGGGATATTATACCGTAGACAATTTTTGAGCAACAAGTAACAGTAGTCGAGGTAGCTAAATTTTTAAGCGCTTAATTGTCACGTCTTGCATGGTAGAGTCATGCTGCAACTATATTAGTAGTATAGTTGTGGCACGAATTCGTTGGCTCGACCTGGGAAGGACCACGCTCACGCAATATACCAGGGTAAAGTAGCAACTTAAAGCTTCTGTGTTGCGTATGGTGAGTGTAGAGAACTGGAGACCCTTTTAACTGGCAACGAGGCATTTCATCTTAGTTTTCAAGGGGATATGCATGGATATGCATTTTGATTCGTAATCGAAGATTAATGTAGATGGCTATGGGCCACAGCAAACACTTACCATCAGGTAGATTATGTACTCGTTTGTCATCCTTATCTTATAAAAAATTAAAGGATTTTTTTTGAGGAAACTTGTGAAAGAAATTAAAATAGTTTCGGGCTCATGTGAAATCCATAAACGCGCGGCATTGGCGGAGCATTAGTAGAGAGGAGACCTAGAGGTCGACATCCATCATTTTGGTCTAACCAAATCTGCTTTAATTAAGTTTAATTATTTTTGTCTCGCGGCGGCTTAAAATTAACTGTCGGTTACGAGTCTAAATAAGAGGTGTTATGATTCTGATAATACACGTTGTCGCCTAGTTTCAGAGCCGGGGATCTTCATATAACATAAATTCATCCATATTCATACCCTGGCTATAATTCTATACTTTAAGCTTTAAGCGTGCTTATTTTATATAGGCTATACTAGTGCACGAGCAATTATATATTTGTTTGTTTGTAATCGCTTTCTCGAAAACGGCTGTAATGAATTCGATGAATATTTCAATATAGGAGTTTACTTGGCGAAAAATCGATCAAGCTGAGGTCGCATTTCGGGGATAATTTGTTACACCCGTGTTTTGAAGCACAAAGTAATGACTTGACGTACTTTTTAACCGTGAACTCAAAGCTTTGATAGAAAAATGTTTGATTACATCACAGTTTTGTACGTGGTAGAGCCATGGTGTGGCTTTATTATGGTTGTAGCACGAATGAGTCGGCTCAACCGGGTTAGGACCACGCCCTCACAGAATACCAACTTAAAATAGCTCAATGTTGCTGTGTTTCGTATGGTGAGTGTTGAGAACGAGAGACTTTTTACTGGAAACGAGAATGGATGGAATCATCTCCGTCCGATGTGGCGACGTATCTGTTGTTTTCATTCTTAATCGAGTAATAGATGTCTATGGGCCACAGCATCCACTTACCATCAGGTGGACTATTTGCTTTTTTGTCACCCTTATACTATAAAAATTGTATTTTAGTTCATATAACCATTGTTTTATCGATATATAACCAAACATACTTAATACTCATTTGAATACTGTTCCCGTCAATATTTCAGCCTATTTAAAGTCCACTGCTGACAATAATATTCTCCATAGATTGCTTTTTAGGGGGGATATTTGCCATAGATACCATGCATAGAAAATAAATAGTATATGCATATGTTGCACTGACCTCTATATATACAAGTACGCTGTATATATAGAGGTGTGATATGTTGTATACGTATTATACTATACATTTTATATAAGTAACTCGTTTCTCGGAAGCTGCTTTAATAATTTGGATGAAAATGTTTTAATTTACGAGTTTATCCAGATAGGTGTAATGTCTGAGATAATTTAATTTTTTTGACGCCGAGCAAAGCCCGCCTGGCAGCTTTCTCGGAAACGGCTCTCACGATTTAGATGAAATTTTGTTTTTATACAATGTTTCACTTTCCAAGTTTATCTAAATAGATGTCATTCCTGAGAAAATTATTAGCAAAATCGGTCAAGTCGTTTTATGTGCCGATTGAAAAATTGTATAAAATATTACAATATATATATATATATATATATATATATATATATATATATATATATATATATATATATATATATATATATATATATATATATATATATATATATATATATATTAATAATGATATTTTAATATTTTATACAATATAACAATATAAGTTAGTCGTGTGGACCTCTCGCGTCGTACCTAGACCACTTTTATTTTAATATCAAGAATGGGTTTAGTAGTAAATCATTATTATTATTAAAATACTAATGCAATACGGAATATTTATTGTATGTTATATCTAATTAATTTTATGGATAAAAGCCGAAATTAAATCTAATAAACAATTTTCAAGGGTAAACAAATACAATGAAATACAACACTGTAATTTTTATGGAGCTTTCATGTCACTGTGCCTAATCTGTAACGTGTCACTGTAATGAGGTTAACGATGTCATGACTTGATAGTATTTTCACGATCGTTGAGAAATAGGACATTTGCTACTCGGCTCTCTTTTTTTAAAGAATATTTTATTAGATATCCTTATACTCGTAATATTTCATTTCAACTGGATTTACATTGCATATTTTTAACGGTACGTTTGAAGTAATGAAAGTTTATTCGCGTTACCCTCACAGTTACCCTTATAGTTACAGCCTACTAAAGTTGACTGCTGAAAATAGGCCGCCCCCATAGAATTCCTCATAGGGGGGATATTTTCCGTAGTTGCCACGCTTGGCAAAAGGGTTGGCAACCCCAGTTTATTCTTTTTAGTCGTTATTAGGAAGATGCTGCCGCACATCTCCTGATTTTTTTCACCTCTGTGGCCTCTTATGACAAACAGGATGATATGGGGTAGTGGATATTTTTACACTACCACTACGTTTTAAGTTAATGCGAGCAATTGAAAGGAAACATGTTAGAATGGTATATACTCCTGGGTTTCGTATGATGAATGTGGAGAACCGGAGACCCTGTGTACTACCTGTTTTAGTAGTTCGTAGGGGTCTAGATTTTGATACTTATAGATGTAGGTGTCTATGGGCCACAGCATCCTCTTACGAACAGGTTGGCTGTGCGCTCGTTTGTCACCCTAAATCCTATATATATATATATATATATATATATATATATATATATATATATATATATATACATATTTTATAGAATAAGTTTGACAAAAGAGCGCACAGTTCACCCGATGATAAGTGGATACTGTGGCCCATAGAATTATTCTACATTTATCCTCGATTAAGAATCAAAACGCAGGTGCGTTGTCACCCCTCAGCATTTGGACGGAATACCGCGTTTCCAGTAAAAAAGGTCTCCGGATCTCTACACTCACCATACGAAAAACAGCAGTATTAAGCTGCTTTTTTACGCTGGTATTCTGTGAGGGCGTGGCCCATTCCCGGTCGAGTCGACTCATTCGTACTACAACCATAATATAGCTACAGCGTGGCTCTATCAGGTATAAATATTCATGTTTGTTACACTTACTTGTCTAAAAATCCTGCCTGAATATTACATGATCCGTGTTAGGATGTAAGAAAGCTTGCTATTATAACGAATTAAATACTCAACTGTTTCAAATATAATGAGGGATTAAGAAAATAATGTGTTTAATTTAGAGGTGGACGAAGTTATGTTTATAATATTAAATATGTGGTCTTAAATTAATTATCTATTACAGTTGAAAGTGAAACTGAAGAGATGCCGGCTGCAAGCAATACAGATCCCAGCACCGAGCAGAAGGATCGTCTCATAGCAGCAGTGAAGAAGGAAGTCAAACATTTAATGGAAGAGGTACGCAAGCATAAAAAAGTAAACAGATATACAATATGTAACGTAATTAACGCACACCCTCAGACACCCCAGTTAGTATATTATGTTATAATCATAATACATACACAAAAATTTTAGTTAAACATTTTTATGCACTGATTATTTATGAAATTAGTTATACTAATTCCGGAAGAATGTTGTGGTCACAGTACAAATCCACGAACGCAAAGACTTTAACGTGCTTGGAATAAAGTTCATTTTTCTTTATTTTTGTTGAATGACAGAATTAGTAATAATACAAATAAAACTGCACTCTTAAAAGTCTTATTGCCTTAAGTTACGGTCCATTTCAGTTTGTTTTGACTGTACAGATTTAGTGTGACTGTAATTTACGTTGTTTTAATTATTTTTGGGATAAAAAATTACCTATATTAAAAATGATAGGAATCGATTCAGTAAATGATTCTGAACAAACTACTTTCTCAAAGTGCGTTAATTATGTTACATGTTGTATAGCTTATGGTTTATCTGTTAAGAGTGCTACTCGCATGTTAGTAGAATTGCCAGGCCCTAAAACCAGAAATTCGAATAAGCTAGTCAGTTAAGCCAGACTTTTGGGTAAAATTAAGTAAAAAGGTCGGACCGTTACCGTTGTACCTTACTAAAGCTCTCTGCTGAACACAGGCCTCAAACATAGTTTGCCTCATCTATTTGCCAAAGTAGCCACGCTTGGCGAGCGGGTTGCCAACCGCAGTAATTTTTTTATTTTCAGTCGTTATTTGAAAGACCCTGCTGCTAAAAAGTCGGACAGTTCAAAAACTTTAGGATTTTGCGTATTAGCTTTAAAATGATAAACATTATATGTAAATTCAGGCTCTTTTGATCCCTTGTCATCGTATCGTTTGAACTTCTAATGAAATTACAACGAAGTTTATTGAATCAGTCTTATTTACGGTATCGCACGTGACAATGCTCACACCACGCCATGTGTGAGCTAGTGTGGTGCGGTTGAGTGTGGGAGTCGTGAGAAAGACGGTGGCGTTTTCTTCTCTCGTCCAACCGACCGCGTGGCTGCTAAAATGTTAAAAGCCTAAGTCCGGCTTCATTCGGACCCTTCATGACGCCTATAATTTCATTCTGTCTGTTTGATTGAAATGAATTAGATTAATGTTTTTATTAAATATAGATCATAAATAATACTTACTGAAAGGCACCCTTTTGTTTAATTTACCACCGGTTCGGAAAATATTTCTGTCCTGGAAGAACCAGCAAGAAACCCAGAGGGACATTTAAAAAAATGATGATTTTACTATAATTTAATATATTATACAGTTACCAACATAAAACAAATTAAAAAAGCTTACTTTTGAAAAAAAATACCGCTTTTTGAATACTTTCAAATAAAATTAGTCGGCTTACTGGAGTTTCTATATTTAAGAAAATTAAGATGACGTACATAGTGTACTCTATGCGTGTCGCAACAAGTAATTGGTCAATTTTTAATTATCATATTTTTAAACCAGATCTAGTTTTATTCTCTTGTTTACTTTACTTACAATATTGTAATTAGTTTTAAACTATAAACGAGAGCTCAGATTTCCCAGTTTTATTAAAAATAAGTAGCATTTAAAAAAATGTATACTCTGCCAACATAACATTTCATAAAATGTAAAGAACAGAACTACTATAACGATAATATTGGTTCGTGTCTGATGAGATGGCTTTGTGTAATTATATAACATATCGTAATATAAACCCATCTTATCTTATTATGGGCAAGGCTAGGACTAGAAGCATCACAAAATATAAATGACGTAACAGAAGTTAATTGAATCTTTTCTTATAGTTCACTTAAACTATTATAAAAAAAATATCATCAATTAGTCCACAGCTCGATCTAGGTCTTTGACATATTTAGAAACTTTTTCCCCGACCTATTATAATTATATAACCTCAACAAACATTTTTAACACTTTTGAAACTTGTCCTGGTTTTCTTTTTGAGGTTGCTAGTGTGAATATTTCGGTCTGGAACACAAGAAGTTGTAATTAATGTTGTTTTACGAGTATGTAACTGTCGTTGATTCCATCAGCCACAAGATCTACGCAATTTCCAAAGAAATCTTACGACACCCATGGGAAACAAACAATTATAATTGATGAATTCTTTCACGCCGCAACCACGCAAAGAAAAATAAAATAATAAAATAAATATTTACTGGCTTATTCTACTTTACTAATATTAAATAACGTTTTAAGATGGTTCCCATAATTTTTTTATTTATAATAAAATTAAACCATTATTTTATAAAGAATATTAACAATGCTATAAACATTACTAATATTCCCGTAGTGATAAGCTTAAATTGCTTGTGTTACGAGTGGTTCAAGCCAGTAGTCGAATGGCGGATTCGAACCCACGATCTTTTTGAGTTCGCGGTCCGCACCCTGCCATTAGGCTATTTTCGCTTAAAAAAAATTTGTACATGAATTATTTTGTGCAAGATCATATTGTGAAATTTACTGTCGTCAGCGGTATTTCCGAACGATGCGACATAGGGACCTTCAAAAAAGAAGGAACCTTTTTAAAAGGTTGGCAACGCACCTGCAATTCATTGGGTGCAGCAGATGTGCGATGGGCGACGGTGATGTGATATAAAAAAATGTCATTAGTATTTGAAAATTATGTAAGCTATTTTTAAAACGTACTATTTATAAAGTTCGAACATTTTCTCAATGCAAATTTAATGCTTAATTAATTGAAGCATTTTTTATTTTAGTATGAGTTCTTATAAGGAGTCTTTCATTGTCCTATTGAAGATGAAATTTCTCTTCCCTTAAGAGTAATCTAAATTCAAAAAAAGTGAAATAAATTACCATGAGCACGGTTACCGCAGTCACGGTACATAAAACAAAATATCCATTGGAGGCTCTTAAATTTGCCACAGTCCGTTGTGCAGTGTGTTCCTTAGCAAGTTTATCCATGACCGATTGCAATTCTTGACAAGCGTCTGCAATTATTGTATGCCAGATCTCAAAAAGTTCTTTTGACTCTTTTTGCGTTTCAAATACAGGTTCATCTTTTCGTTATAGTGTAAACCTGATTAGGAATCCCCCAAATTATTTACCAATTTAAAGCAAGTACCAATGTGAGGTTGCTACTGTTTTTTAGTAAGCTCATAAGCAAACCATACCATAGCAATTGATATTAACTAATGAAAATGAGGTGATCGCTTCCAAGCTTTATGCTAAATGTAAGTTGTGTCAGTAGTTAGTACAACTTATTGTATAGTATACTCACTTTGAAAAAAAAATCCTGCTGGGTTTCTTGCTGATTCTTCCCAGAATAGAGGTTTTTTCTGAAACCGCGTTAAAAGTAATAACTTTCAATAAAAAATACTTATAATCTAAATTGAATAAAAAATTATTCTATTCGTTAAATGAAACTAATTTCACGGATTTTATCGTGTTTCATTTTAACTAGTTACTAGTTAGTACTAGTTTTACTATAATTTTAACTAGTTATTAATTAGTATTAGTTGTACTAGTTATTTTAACTAGTTAAAATTAAATGCGATATAATTCATAATTAGTTTCATTTAATGTGTAGTATAGTATACGCGTAAATATAAGAAAAGATTAATTATTCTATTTTATTCTATTCTATACCATATTTTTTCGAGCTTTTTAATAATCCCAATTTCACACAAATAAATCCTGAAGATAATAATGACAATTTGACGTAGTTTGAGATGAATTCGTTTCCATTACAGATTTAAATTCATTTGTATTGATTTTAGTCTGCAGTCGTTCACGTTCTCGTTACTGAGTTTGATATTCTCAAAATTTTAAATCAAAACGGACCGCACTTTTATTTGTAGTACGTGGTCAGTATGAATACATTCGTCCTACGTACGTGAAGTATTGGTTCCACAATGGAACTCAATTAAAAACCACGATTTTTAATCAATTTTTCAATTTTACTACGTTATAGCTGGTACCCAACGCGTTACTGCCACAGAAGAAATTAATGTGGAAATGTCGTTTTAAATTTAAAATTGAATGATATATAAAATTCAAATAAATATATCTGTACGTTAAGCGCACCGTCTACTGTAAGTTAACTATAGCTATAACCTTCGCGCAAGTGGTAGCAATAAGTTGAGAAAGTTTTACTGCAATCCATAGACTTATACTACTGCGTATATTCTTGAATCTGATGAACGCTATGACAACACGTGAATGACGAACAAACAAACATTATTTCTTATGAAAAAGATTTGAAATTCTAAATCAATTGCAAGATGTCTTATTTCTAATTAGCCATATTAAAAATGCATCTTCAGAGTTAACGATCATCATCATCATCATTACAGCCCTTCAGAAGTCCACTGCTGAACGTAGGCCTCTCCCAAGGTATGCCACAAAGCACGGTCCTGAGTCACCTGCATCCATCGACTTCCTGCATGTCTTACCAGGTCGTCACTCCATCTAGTGGGGGGCTTCCTACACTTCGCCTACCGGTACGAGGCTGCCACTCGAGAACCCTTCTTCCCCAACGGTTGTCGGTTCTTCGAGCTACATGGCCGGTCCATTGCCACTTCAGCCTACTAATCCGTTGGGCCATGTCAGTCACTCTGGTTCTACTGCGGATATCCTCATTTCTAAGTTTATCACGCAGAGAAACTCCGAGCATAGCCCTCTCCATAGCTCGCTGAGCGACTTTGAGTGTCCTCATACGGCCAGCAGTGAAGGACCACGTCTCGGATCCATAGGTCATCACTGACAACACGCACTGGTTGTACAACTTAGTTTTCAGGTTTTGAGGTATACCTGACGAGAAGATGTGTCATAATTTCCCGAACGCTCCGAGTAGAATCCGTCGATTGACCTCTCGGTTGAAGTTGGACTTACCTAGTCGGAATATTTGTCCCAGGTTAACGTTACGAACGTTAACGATCAATACTTAGAAAATAAAGCAGTTTTCAGTGTCGTAAGTCTATGAGTCAAAATTTATATAAT